TCCTAGAAGGCTAAGACTTCATTTTCTACCATTTTAATTTCCCAGATATCAAGTGATATGTTGATGCAAGACCTAAAAGAAGTTTCTGGAGTGACTGTTCGGATAACAAGATATTATGGTACACAACTGAAGCTATGAAATTGTTTATTTGTGGAGGTGACATCAGTTTCTGGACTTATCAGACTCTGTGTGAGAAAAGGCAAGTTCAATGTGTACCACAGAAACACCTGTCACTGTCTTCTCAGATTAGATGGGAGGACTTTAGGAGGGATTGAAGCTATTGCTCAATTTGGTTTAAAAAAAAAAAAGAAAAGTCATATTGTTTTCCAAGTACCTTAGCTTAATGAAAAGAAGAGGGCATCAGAACCTCTATCCCTAACTCAAAAATCCAAAGAGACGCTTCTTATATTTCAGTTTACACATATAAAGATAAATTACTTATTCTTAAATATTTCATTCAATAAATGATTCACTAGGGAATGAAATTAACATTAATTGAGCAACTATTTTTGCCAAGCACCATGCTGGATCACATTTAATTCCCACAACAACACAGTGAGATAAACGTTGTTTTCTCCACTTTGCAGTTCAGACAAGTGAGGTTTAGAGAGAGTAAATAACATGCCCCAAATCACAAAACTAGTAGGTGTGGAGCTGAGATCCAAATCCAGGTCAATCTAATGCCAATGCTGATTCTCCGGTCATTGAAATTCCCGTTAGGGAGTTTATTACAATCTACTTGTTGGCATGTCCTCTACCTGATCATAAAAATATATTCCTCATTCCAGTGCAACTAAGACCACATTATAGGGTAGCTTTGGATCATCTATAGATCAAACCACAGTCTCCAAAACATAACAACATGGTTAAATTTTAAGACAAATTTGGTCCTGACCCAAACTCTGGGACTATTAAAGGATTGTACCATCCTTCAGAATAGAGGAGAGGTCAGTCATTACCTCTTTTTCAAATAGAAGGAAACGGAGGTCTAAAGAAAAGTAACAATTGTTCATTCATTCTTAGAAGTGGACATAGAATTGGGCCTCCATTCTTTTGACTGTATGGTCTAAACCAGCTCCGGCCAAACACTGCTTCTAATGGGTATGGAGAATTTAGAAACCAAGTTCCAGGATAGGAATCCACACAAAATAGAATCAACCTAACACCTGCCCCTGGGCTGAGGCCAAATGCCCACAAATGAACATTATAAGGACATGTTCATTTTAACACCTAATTGACCCCAAAGTCTCTTGCTCAACATTCTGCATTAATAGAGACATCAAGAGAAATGTTTGTCACGGCTATTCTTGCACAAGGCTTTTTATGGCTTCTATGAAAATAGAAGCACAACGAATTACATGCTCAAACATGTCCACATTCTTGGCAAAGCAACAGAAAAATCTTGGGGGTCAAACTGGTGATGGAGTATCTACCAAACAGACACTTTATAGCTGCATTTTATAAACTGCAAAAGAATGTGTAATGGATATCAGAAAGTCAGAAGAGATTTTACAAGGTTCTTTTATAACTACATTATGGCAACCTTACAAACCAAAACCAAAAAAATCTCCACCTATCAAAGTAATTTAAGCAGTTCATAGGTTCCACAAAACGTGTAAGAGAAAGAAGGCTACCTAGATTCAGAATCGGAGATCTGGTCTGAATTAGAAAATTTATTTAGACCAAAATCTGGCCTCATGTTTCTCATCTCTAAAGTGGAGACATAATAGTTAGCTTACAGAATGGTTGCAAGGATCCAATGTGATCATTTGCAGAGAAACACCTCTCGCCTAGCAGAGACTGAACGTGCATGGGTGGGATTTAAATCTGAAGGTATGCAGAGAGTAAGGCTGGCAATAATCACCTGGCATCATTTATTTTTCACTAGGCAAGTTTTTGAGGCTCCGGTAGAGATAATCAAGAGTCAGTTCATCCTTGAGCAAAGAGTGACAACCACAAGGCACTTCATATGCCTTTGTAACCTAAATTTTATTCTTCCGTAGAGGATGATGATAGTCGGTAAAATTCCAAGAGCTGTTAGACTGACTGTAAAGACAGCCTACACCATGGAATGGATTGCTCCTCTCGTACATAAAGCATTTTCATTGCTTTCAATACAGAGACTTCCTGCTGCAGAATGGCTTAAATATGTATGCTTATGCTAAGCGTGGAAACAAGAACCTGCTTTCATATGTACTTTTCTGTGTTAGCTTTCTCCTTTCAAACTTGGTCATCTTTTTTTTTACCCTGAAGCATAGCATAAAGGTAACAGGCCACAGCCTTAGACAGGCAACTCTAACCAAATGACTTGACAACTGGCAAACGTTTGTAACAAACTCAATCATATCCTTCACATAACAAACAAGCACTTAGTTAAATGCTTTTAGGTGTAATGCCAAGAATGTTCTCTCTGTTCATGAAAAGGTGAAGCAATACTATATTTTAAGGGGGAGTGGATCAAAGGCCACGAGTCAGAAACCAGCCTCACAACTGGCTAATTCATTAAAGATCAATGAAGATGAAATAATCTCATTGGATTAAAATAATTAAACAATTTCCGGGCCAGCCCCGTGGCTTAGCAGTTAAGTGCGCGCGCTCTGCTACTGGCAGCCCGGGTTCGGATCCCAGGCACGCACCGACGCACCGCTTCTCCGGCCATGCTGAGGCTGCGTCCCACATACAGCAACTAGAAGGATGTGCAACTATGACATACAACTATCTACTGGGGCTTTGGGGAGAAAAAAAGGAGGAGGATTGGCAATAGATGTTAGCTCAGAGCCGGTCTTCCTCAGCAAAAAAAAAAGAGGTGGATTAGCATGGATGTTAGCTCAGGGCTGATCTTCCTCACACACACACAAAAAAAACAATTTCCAATATATGTCAAATGGAATTAAAGCTATAAAATTCAACCATTTGATGCTTCAATAGAAAAATTATCTGGATAATTGCCAGGAGTGCTATGAATTCTGTGAAGAATGATCCATGAACCAGGGAACACTGTTAACCTTCCCAAAGGAAAAAAAATTCTGTTGTCACTACAAAAAAGGAGACTTAATGATCAATCATTTGATGGGGGAACAGGAACCTGAATATGCTTTTACTGTGTTGTTTTCAAAACGTGTTTACTCCTTATTTTCATCTAATTTCCATGATAATAAAATTGCTTTGAGGTGACAGTTAAAATAAAGGAGAAAAAAACTGTGACTGGGGAAGAAATATAGTTATTATTTTACAATCCCAACTACACCACCAGCAGCACTGCGAGGATAGATCCTAAGAAGGAACGTTGTGTGTCATGTGAGCATGCCACGTGGAAAAGCAGAGGGACGGCTGAGTTGTTCTCCATGGTGAAAAGAAGTGATTTGGGGGATATGGTTAGATATCAGGAACCAGAATAGCTGGGTTGAAGACCCTGCAGGGGGCACAGGAGAAGAGAGAGATAAAATGGCTGATAGCTGCAGAGGAAATTTTAGAGGAGAACAGAGCTTTCTTTTAACAGATATGTGGTGATCAGTCCAATTCCCGGACAATCTTCAGTAATAGCCACATAACTAATATTGCTCTATTGAGCAGGCATTCTGTTGGAGGGCTGTGACAATGCCCAGGACTGCAGCAGAGATGAGAATGAGGGCTCCTCCAAAAAGCCCAGTGACACCTATTGTGCTGGGTGGATGCTTAGGGGCCACCTCAACAGTGGAGCGCCAGCTCTTCCAACCTCACCTAGTTGTTGCTAGGTTTTTAACTCAGTGCACTGGGTGCTGAGATAAGAACTGGAGCCAACACAAAGGGACACCATCTTGGGCTGCATGAGGGCTCATTCTTGGTTCTTCCCACCTCTGTCAAGTGCTTTTCAGGACCGGGGGTCACAAACTCAAGTGACTTCGGGATACCAAGCACACCCACAAATGGGAAAAGCTGCTGGGTGTAAGATAACAGGGATCGTCAGAGCCTGTTGGAAACTGGAGGTTGCAGATCCCTCCTACAGGCTTTCAAAATCCATATTTAGGAAAAAAAAGTGGTGACCAAGCAAATATCTGTGCACAGGATTCAAGACCCCTATTAGACTTGTCCAAATGTGCCTGCAAAGTGAAATACTCAAGTAAATGTCTGACCCAAGGCCAGTATCCAGGTATTTTAGGCAGAACCTCTTCATAAAGCTGACTTTGCCTGGAATCACCATATATCACCTAAAAAAATTAAAATGTCATGAATTAGCTCCTTTCAAATAATTCTGGTGTATTAAAATGGCATATCTTGGATAGATCATCCATAAACTAGGCATATGAAATATTTTTCTCATGGGTCAAATCAGACAGTTTTCAGAAAGTTTAACTTAAAGTAATTATATTCTATGAAAAGTTGTCAGAAGGCCAGCCCTGGTGGCCTAGTGGTTAAGTTCAGCCTGGTCCACTTTGGCTGACCTGGTTTGGTTCCTGGGAGCAGACCTATACTGTTCTGTTAGTGGCCATGCTGTGCTGGCAGCCCACATACTAAAAAATAGAGGATGATTGGCATGGATGTTAGCTCAGGGTGAGTCTTCCTCAGGGAAAAAAAAAAAAAAGTTGTCAGAGAACTGGGGAGGGGGTAGGGCAGAGTAGAGAAAGGAAGATTATTCTGAAATCTTGCCACGCAAGACAAATCTCCTCTGCACAGTTTATTATGTAATCTCTAACCCCCAGGGGTCAAACTTGCAATGCTCAGAGATGTCCACAGCAAAGAAGAGCAGGGACCAGCCCTGTTCCCGGGCTTCAGAACTCCTCAGAAGCGGGAGCTAGTTTACAGTATAAATTCTTGATATTCTGGTGCTATTGCTGGATAACCATACAGGAGTGTTGTATGATGATTCAGCCTGACTTTGGAGCTCTAGAAATGCAACCTTGATGACTTGAAAGCTCACCTCTCTGTGTCCACATCAGTCTCTCCCAGTGAGGCCACTCCTCAGCTATTTATATTTTGTGAAACTAAGGAGGAAAGAAGAGAGGCTCTAGAAGAATCCTTACCTGTAGATGCTGTTCTAATTCTGGAAATTCCAGAGGAATGGCATCTTCAGGAGGTGTATCATCTAAAACATGAAAATAAAATGATTCTTCACTATAGAGTCCTTTCTCTCACAAGAGTTGTCCTACTGTTAAACCATCTTTAGACTTGCGGAGTTAAACCATCAGTATATACTGCTTCAGTTATTCCCATCACTTCATTTGGGGACACATAGAATGCACAAGACAATTTTGCTCATTATCAGTACAAACAGAAGCACAGAGAGCTTAGCTGCCCTGACCAAAATTTTGCAAACAAGTGTCAGCATCCTCAAATGCTCAGTCTGGTAGCTCTCCAGTTAAGAAGTACTGCTTGTCTTTCAATACTCCTACTGAGCCAAAACCAAAAAATATGATATGCAGGAAAGTGCTTTAACAAGGTGTTAATGAGGCAACCAGAACAACCTCAATGGGACAGAAGAACGTGTTAGGGAAAAATAGAAGCATTAGTTCTGCTCTGAATTACTCTAACGGTGGCAAGCTTTGATAGTTTTGCCCACTGCTCTTAACACAAACCACCACTCACAGGCAGTTAACCAGAGCCTCGTTCTGGGTTACAGTGGGTAACGAGCAGCATTCCCAACCTGGGGCTCAGTCCACTGCCTTGATGCGGGAGAGCCTGAGCGGAGGGAGCCGGGCAGTTCTGTCATAAATTGACTGCCTGGCAATAGGCAGGTGTTGCTGGATGAAAAGATGCAGTTCTCAGAAGCATCAGAGGAAATCGGAGAGAAGTTTGGCCTAAAATATCCAAGTCACCCCCAAATCTCTTCAAGAACATCCTGCCGACCCAGCTCTGGCACTAGGGGACAGCCCCACCATATCTCCAGGCAGACTCTGGCTCTGCAGGTCCAGTGGTCATTCATTTCCAATCCCCTCCTTGTTGACAACACCTAACCCAGGCCCTAGGACTGTGAGAATAAGACAAAATACAGGCTAAAAGAATAATTAGAAACCAAAGCTATTTTAAATTATAATAAAGAAAGGAAAGATAATGGTTTTTATGTTCTTACTACCATAAAATCAAATTTATTTCTGAAAGCTGTTGATGTTCTGTTTGAAATAGAGGAAGTGATAGGGGCCATACACAGTGCAGAAGCAAGTATCCTCTCCTTACGCATGGAGAGCACATTCCAGAATAAAATGCAGCACCCAAGGAGCTCCCAGCAACGGATTACATTTCTTTGAAGGCGCCAAAAATAATCACCAGAATGATAATTCAAACAAGGACAGTATTAACCTCTGCCAAACACCTCAAGGGTCACGTATCTTCATAGCCTCTGGTATATTTTCATCAAGAGTAGTATAGTAACACTCCCATTTAAAACTGGCTTAAGACAATGACAATGCCTCACCGAATTTGAACCCATTTGTTCCTGTACCCGTGACAGACAATGGATGCCTATGGGTCCACTGACACTGTTTAGCTTCACAGAGCAAGTAGAAATGGGGAAATCTTCCCAAGATGCTTGCAGCATGCTAGAGGACTGTCTTAAGAGGAAACAAGGAGAATCCAATCCCCAGGCCCTTTGAATGTTTTCTTCCTACTCAGAGTAGGCGTGACAACTTCTGTCAAATACTGTAGCTTTTTTACATCCATCCTGTCATTTGCAAAGAATTGGACAAAAGACAGAAATATTCACTTGCTGCCACTGACCATTTAGAGGGAGCCTTTATTATAAAACCTATATTTTGTAAACTGATTTTGGTCTGAGGTGCATTTAAGTTTACTTCAATAAAATATCAATAACCCACACATCATGATTTTTTTAGCTCATTGAGTTCAAGGCCAGGACAATTTGGTGTGGGTAAATGGGAACATATTATACTTTGGCATCCCAACCCTAATAATCACAGATGAGCAGGAACTCATTAGAAGGAGGAGAAACCACTTCTGGAAAGTACCAGAACAGATAGTGCATTCTAGAATTCCAAGACAGCCAGGAAAGGTACTCAAGGCTTCCTGGGCTTAATCCACCTTTCTCCCTGTGAAGTCACACTCCTTCCTCCTCAATTATAAAAAAGAAAGAAAAAAAGTTATCCATTTTCTTTACTATAGTAAAGTAAATAGCAAATACTGGTGTGACCCAGAATTAATAAAGCCCATTATAGAAATGTATGTCATTATTTATAGTCACACCATGTAGAGTCATATATATGTGACCTGGCTGATAAGTAAAGCTTAAGATTGGATTCCTTGAGTTGAAAAAAAAAAATCTAAATGATTGACATAGAAACAAACATATAATGGATGTTTTAGAGAGACAAGCAAAATAAAAGTAAGACTTTTGTGAAGGAATGGATCAAGTCAGATTAATCCAACCAGGAAACGGCAGCTGAAACAAGAAAACCAAAGACAGATGTAAGGAAACTACTGAGTCTGAGAGCCAGTCCTGCGTGTCACCCTCAATGCCATCTGGTTGAGCTGGCATCTCTGCCAGCCAGAAATTTCAGAGCTTGCAAAGCTGCTTACAAAGCTGCCCCAAGTTGACATGTGGTGTGTTTACTCTTAAGCAGTGGCTGCCTTCTTTGACTGGTTTTAAAAATAGGCAAATATTCTAAAAGCAGAATGATGAATCACAGGATTGGGCCAAAACGAAAGAAGGAAAATGACTCAGGCAGACCAGTAGCACAGCTGTTCCACAAACATTTGGCTGAATCGTTGTAAAACGTTTTGACAGTGATATTGGATCGGAGTTCCTGGGAGCAGTTAAGTTTGTTTTGACAATTCAGAAGCACCAAATAGACTGTACAGTAGCTATGCAAGAGACCCTCCCCAGCAAATTTGGCTTTTTTTAAAAAAGGGAGAGCAGTTGCTAGATATGTTTATAACGTGACAGAATTAGAATGCAAGTACATTTTTATTAAAATTTATTTATTTACCAAGTATTTATTGAATGCCTATTATATGTAAGGCAGGGACTGAGGCTCTATGCCAAATTGGCAAATCACTTTATCATATTTTTTAATGCATTAAGGAAATAATTCATAGGCTTCCTTTTCAAAATGGCTTGATGGACCAAGCAAAACATATCCTAGTGAATTTTTTAAAGGATAAAATATAAAGGAAAGAATTAAAGAGGAATTTTTTTTTAAATAAGCAGATGTTCACTGCCTGTTTGGCAAACATGATGTAACTAAGTCAATGGTACTTAAGATAGAACTTTCTTATTGGTATCCCAACCGTTATGACATGCCATAGTACATTTTATGATGGGCTCGTCTCAGCATCTATTGAGCAGCTGTTGGGTTGTTTTTGTGGTTATTCTGTTTCAGATTTCCTGAAATTGTTTCTCCATGAATCGGATAAGTGGGACCCATTGGGTCTGTAATCCAAATCCTCACTGTGGTTGAGCAACGAGAGCTATGCAGTCAGAGTTCTTAGAGAATGCTGAGCTGGAAGGGGCTAAGGAATTATCTGGTCCAGAACTCTCAGTGTAGAGCAAAAGACAAGGGTCCCCAAGAAGGGAAAGGAGTCTCGTAAGACTAAGGGGTGTCTGGCAGCACAGAGCTCTTCACCACGCCCCTCTGCTTTTCCTCACCTTCTAATCCAAGAGCTCCTACTCTTTTATATTTCACGAGCCCATGAAATTTTCCCCAAAACATTGGGAATCATGCCTTAGAGAACCCAACTTGTTACTCAGCTAGTGAAGATGATTCAGAAACAACTACTGTGTATCATTAGTATCTCTTTATGACAGGGAGAACATTTCAACACCAAAATCGTTAGACAACCATAATCTTAGAAGAGAAGAACATTCATTATATTGGATAAATTTAGCTATATAGACAAAAACAAACACACACACAAAAACCTCGCTGCCGTGTCCTTATTTCTTTTGTTTTACATTAGAGAGGTGAAAACTTCATCAAAGTCAGAACAGGTCTGCAAACCAGCATTTGAGAACCACTGTTCTAGACAACATCTTGCCTGGAGTTTGGAGTCAATTATCTCTCCCTTGCACTGTGATCTCCATCTTAGACATAACTGGAGTCTAGGCTGGGAAACTCTAAATCCACACAGAGAAGACCTCAAAAGAGGGAGAAGCCACACTCAGAGGACTTTCCCAAGCCCCACCACACTCCCCAACCAAGAACTCAACAGGCAGCCCTTAAATCCATTCAGTCTGTCTACACTGCCTGCAGTCAGAGCCGGCTTCATGGCCATGCACCCGTGCAGGCACAGAGAGGCCTTCGCCCGTGTGGGCCCACACTTGGTTTAATGCTCTGGCTATAGTGTCTTGAAATTCTTAATAATTTTTGAACAAGGAACCCCGCATTTTTCGCACTATGCTTCCACAAATTATGTAGTTGGTCCTGCCTGCAGGATGACCTGATTGCTGGTATCCTGGAGACCATCCTTCAAGGCACCGAGGGACAAACTGATACTTAAGGGGCAAGTGAGTTTGGGCAGTGGCCACAGTGCCAAGGCTCATGCAAAAACTTTCCTGGGAACTGTTTGCCTATGAAGGCTCCTAACCACTAAGGGCACAGCGGGTCAGTGCAACATTCAGTAGGACAGACCTGCATTTAAATCTCAGGTCAGCTCTTTTTAATGGGTGAATATGGACAGTCAATGTAACCTCTTTGAGACCCAGTTTTCTCCTCTGCAGAATGGGCATGATATTCCCTGTCTCAGAAACTTGTTATTAGTAAAGGAATACGTATGTCAATCATTTAGCCTAAATCCCGGTACATGGGAAATAATCTGTGATAATAATGAATGCTTAATATAATTGAGTTTACTTTCCATTCCTTTTCACCATCAACCAAACTAATGGGGTAATGGGGAGACAAGGCACCTGTGTACGCATATGTGCATATGTGGGTATGTGTGTAATGGAGGGGTTGAGAGTATTACTCTTCATCATCTGAGTGATACAAAGAGAACAGGTAGGGTGAATATCACTGACTCTAATTACTTAATTCTCCCCATGCCATCTAAGGGAGATTTCCCTGGTGCAGCCACAACCTCATGTCCTGTGGGTTTATTCTCTTCATTTACATCTGAATTTAAGAAGCATTTCCC